GCAACTTTTTTTGCTTTTTTTGTAATTTCATCAAATCTTTTAGTCTAATTAGTATTTCCTTAAAAATTAATAATGAAAAGTTTTGGAAATTTAAAAAAATTATTACTAAATTTTCTCAAAACTTGACAATTTCTTCGATTAGTATTTGATTTTGAGATAAATTTCGATAACAATAGATGATTGCTTGGTTGCAATTGCAATCAATTAATAGCCGCCGTGTTGTATTAATGGGTTTTGAAATGGATTGTGTGTATTCATGAGAAAAGGTACACCTATGCTGTGTTGAAATTGGTATGATACGAGCAGGAATTCTCATTTGTTGGATAATCGATACGCGCGAGTTCGTCGACGAACGTCGAGTTTGTTACTTTAATTCCCAGGATTACGTTCAACAAGCCTCGTTTTGATGGTGCCGGATGCCCAACTCTCCAGCACATGCATTCTGGCAAATTGCGTAAAACCAGTTATACTATAGTACATAAAGACGAAAGTTTTCGAAAATTTATAACTATGGTATACGACTAAATTTCTCGCCAAAAATCTAGACAAAAACATTTTGAAATTTAATTTAAAATTTAACTTTAATAAAATTTAATTGACATCATTTATTTGAAATATTATTATGTATTGACGCAGACGAAATTGTTTATTTTCTCACGAGATCATTAAAATGTGATCATCTATTTTTAATAGAAGAAATGTCTGCCGATACAGTATCGATCTCATAATCAATTAATGCCTTTTTGATAACCTCAATTTTGTAAATCGATTATAACAAATCGACTGTGTTAACTATTCTAATTGACGCAAAATACTACGTAAGATAATTAATTTATGAGTTTATTTAGATAATCTTCTGACCTAATCGATATTTTATAATTGTACTAAATTTTAATTCAAATTACATATACAGTCAATTCAAAATTAAATTGAGATAAGAAAGTTAGACAAAAAAATTTTAGTCATGTAGATATTCTAAGATATTTTTAATTAATTAAGCTAATCAAAGTGCGTTCACAACTAATAACAAAATTCAAAATATCACTGCAATCACTTTAATCGTGGATCAATTTTTTGATTAAATTTAAAAATTATTATCTCAAATGGAAGTTTTGCTACAATCTGTATAATTTTAAGGGCGATATTCTAAGAAATCGATTTTATCCGATTTTTTATTACAAACCAGCTTAAAAATTTAGAAAAGATTAATAGAAATTTACATTGATTTCAAAACTAATTACATTAGAAATTATGTCGAGATGTGCCTGAGTCGATATAGAAGGATTTTAAGGGTTGTCAGTGACATTATATAGATGTTTTAGACTATATTGACGGGGGACAGGAAGTATGTTGGGAAATATCCGCGACAGTATTGAAAGGTGCCGGGCTAATATTGAGATATCATGATGTTAAGATGTGCTGAAAAATGTCCGTGACAACATTGAGATGAGCAGCTAAGAACAAAAAACGTAGGATTTTACATAATTAATCTCATGTTAAAACAAAGTTGGCCAGAGCATTGCAGCCTTCCAATAGGGATTGATTTCGGCTAAACTAAGAACAAAATACGTCGAAGCTCTACATTTGATTTAATTTTTTGTTTATCAATTCAAAAGTTTGTTTTGTTATAAGTTATTAATGTCAAGTAATTTATGTAATTAATTATTGAAAGTTGGTTTATAATCGGATGGTTTATAATTGATAAATTATCTAAATGGTTGAGAACTAATTCGTAGCTGCCCTGCAATATTGAGATCGCATTGAGAGCTGTTCAAAATGGTATTGAGTGGTGTCTAAGATGATACAGAGAAATGTACGAGACAGTGTTCAATGATCATGTGAAGTCTATATGTTGGGAACGATGTTAAGAGTTGTCTAAGACAATATGGAAGAATATTTGGGAGGATACACAAGAATGGCAGGGGTGATATTGAAGCATGTCCAGAATAATGTATAGAGATTCTGTCAAAACAATATTTAATGTTGTCTCAGGTAAAATTGAGAAATGGAAAAAGAGGAACGAAAATAATATTGAGAAATGGTCAAAACATTGTGGAGAGGTGTCTAGGTTAATGTTTAGGGATGTCAGACACCATATTGAAGGACGTTCAGGATGTTGGTGGGGCCAAAGTCAATGTTAAACGATCTTTGGTACGCTGCAGAAGAGTGAAAGAGATTATATTGAGAGATGTCAATAACAAATGTGCGAACTAACGCCATATATTGAGGTTGTGTTAAGCTGGAGCCCCTTTTTCTTGCGGAACTGTGAGTGGATTTGGGTTGGGGGAATATCGTAGCAATATGGACAGTTCAGTTGAGAAGTTCCCAACGAGTGGTTGCTCTAATTCTTGTGTTCTGGTACTGAATTTTATAATTATTATTGTTATTATTTATAACATGAAGTTGAAGAAAGCCGGGAATGATGTGTAATGATGTTAGGGATGATGTTGAATGTTAAGATATGTTAGGAACGATATATAAGGATGTCTCGGCCGATGCTTAGTAGTCGTCGGAGACTTAACGCCCATGTAATAATTCAGTTTGTAAAAGATATCTTAGATATTGATGACCACCTAGCCTAAAGGCTACCAGACTGCACGGTCGGGCTGCCTAATGCGCATCTAGCCTTAGGACTTAGGTCGTATTGTTTTATGTGGTTGATCATAGACAATACTTAGAGGTGTATGGGATAATATAGTAGAGTGACGGAAATGATGTTGAGAAATGTCGTAAATGTTATTGAGGGGTATCTAGGATGACATTAAAGAGACAGTCATGATACTGAGGCATGTCAGTGACGAAATAGAATGTGTCAGGAATGATATTGAGGGGTGCTAAGGATGATATTGAGTGATTTCTCGAACGATGTTTGGAGTCTCCTGTTATCACATTAAAGGATATCGGATGTGATGTAGAAGAATACCCGGGCTGATGTTAAGGACTGCCAGCGACAATATTCTGAGATGTTTGGGACTCTATGATGAAGAAGAAATTACAGTAATTATATTGACATATAGACGAAATTAACAGGCGCCAAGGAAGACATTGAGAGATGTGCGTGGTAATGTTAAGAGGTGTCCAGTTGATATTGAGATATGTCCGGGATGATGTCAAGGTGTTCTGCTAAAGTTATTCCAAATATCTCTTATTTGGGCGACGTGTTAAGAACGATATAAAAGGATATCTGGGACGATCATAAGTGGTTGTCAAAGACAATATTAAGGGATATCGAGGATAGTTTTAGATGTGCCTGCGACGATATTGAAAATGATCAAAGACTATTCTGATTGATGTGTGGGTAGTGTAAAAGACTGACAGCAATGCATCTAGAATGATGTTGTGGAATGTTAGACTCAATATCGAGGGATATCAAAGACGACATTCAGCGTTATTCGGAACAATTTTGAGAAGTACACTACATTCTTATGCTTTCGTAACTTCCAGAATAATTGTTGTTACGCGTAAAGTTAATGAATCTTTCATAATGATAGCGGCTTTCTATATTATTACATATATACTCGTTAATTTCCTGACTTCATATTGAGTGTTGATATTGAACAAAAATAGCGTTCACAATGCTCTGAACCTCGAGAAAAAATGTTGCCCTATGTTTGCGAAACAATAAAGAAAATATATCGAACCAGTAGCAATCACAATTTATTATCGTAAAAAACTTGGGCACATGGACTGTGGTTTAGATTCATTAAAAGTCGACCAAAACACAAAATATCAACCTTTTTGAATTATGGTGCTTTTCATACTTTGCTTCTCTAATATGTTCACAGCAAAAAATGTCTATGCAGTACTAGCAAAATGGCAGATAGAATTGATGAAACTTCTCGAACATTTTTAACTTAATTTTATTAAACTTTAAATTTAAAATTTAATAATGATACTAATTAAAAATAAATATTTCACAATTCAATTTCCATATTTAGCCGACATTTCAATAAATAAATATAAAAAAATCAGAGTTTTATGGCAAGATTTCAAAGTATGAAAAATTCACTTTTCGCTCGAAATCGTAAAAATCGCGATTCAAGCCATCGTAAATCACAGATAAAATAGTACTGTCCGTAGATTCGTTTCGTAAATGTCTTTTTCAGAAAATTTTCAACAGAATTTTCTTTAAACTTTTCAATTATTTCGGTGTCCTTTCCAGAAAGAATTTTTTTAACAATCTACTGATTAACAAAAAGAGAATAAAAACGTCGAATTGTTTTGACACCACCGCCTTGTGTTCTTCTTTACCAAACAATGTAACTATTGTAGTCTGTCGGGCATTAAAGCTTTGTCGGCGAGATCAAAGGATTCGCTATCCCCACATTTTTTTTATTCGCCCTACAACGACTTTAACATTGTGAACATGACACAGTAAAAAAAGAGATTTTTTTGTATCAACCCTTCTGGTTCATTCACTAAATCAAAATCGAACTTGAATAGTAGTTGTAACAGGTACTAGAAAATACTTAGGATTACTGGCAGTTTGCCAACTTTTAAAACCGTCAGCTGCCTAAGTAGATGGTTTAGATTTCAAGAAGGATTGATTTAAATCGACTCCTGGTAAACGACTCGGGCGTGACTGACAAACGGTGCCCGCAAATGGATCGTAATTTTCAGAAAAGGGGTGCGATCGTCGTAATGAGGGGGTTGATTGTAAAGGTGGTCGCACTTAAATCCCAACCTCCATTCAGAGATGAATGGGAATGATGATTTAATTATAATAAAAAATTATTTCTAAAAAATTTATTGCTTATAGAAAGAGAAGTAGCCGCAAACTATTTCATATGTAGATTTTTAAAATTATCCGTATTGAGAGCTACTATTCAATTTCCATGCAAATTTATGTAAATGTCGTACGTTTCGATCGACTTGCAAAGGATGTAACATCTGTCTCAACCATACAACGGATACTTTTTAACTTTTAAAACCTTTCAAAGTCACAAAATATTCCCATTTCATCCTATTTTTACATTGAAAATATAAAAAAAATTACTTACAATGAAGTTTCTCGTCGAGATTTCCTCGTGACGTCACCGATAGGGCTCGAATAAACTCCTCGAACTCTATAGAACCATCCTGAAAAGCGTAGAACAGAATAAAAAAGCAGGGTAAGTGAGAGGGCGCGTGAAAACCTCGAGTTTCGCACGGGTAAACCCGTGCACATTATACGGCACTCGAGCGGTATTGCGTTGATTTTGCGGACACGTGCAAGAAGAAAGGCTTTAGATTTTCAAGTTTACGTGCACCTTAAATCTTTCCAGCGAACGGAATTCGCCTGATGTTATATGGGATACTTAGTTTCGCTAGGATTTAAAAGGTATTCGAACGTTGCATTTAATTGGAAAGATTTAAATAATTTTAGTGGGTTTATTTATAGTGAGGAATGCAGTTTTAAAAGCATAAGTAAAGTCTTCGTACAATTTAAATTTTAGAACTTCTCAAAAAAAAAAGAGTAATTGCAACTCCGCGTTGAGTTTGAGTTGAGTTCAGATTGGTTTGGGTTGAGTTGGGTTCCATGTAGGTTCCTAGTATGATACTAAATACGACCGTAGGAAACCCGAGGTACCTGAGCTAGAAGAGCACATTTCCATAAAAATTAGGGGTTCGTCTGGGCCGGACGGTAATACCCTTTAAGAACTTCGCCTGGATTACAGCTGAAGATATTTATCTGTGCCGGTATGACACTGGAATTATGTTTGTGTTTATTGAACTTCATGTTTTGTAAGCGTACTTACCTATTGGATAGGGAGAAAGCAGGGCGTAAGCTAGGAACGTGACATCTGCAAAAACGATGAAATGGCACATAAACCAGGAGCCTCGGATGGGTGCACCGACCAAGCAGTGCTGTACCCTCCTCGAAAAGAGACTCGACCTTCCCAGGTTACAATGACTCATCTGTATTAGGTTCTGCTAGCCAGGATATAGAAGGTATTGTGTCTCAGCAAACTACCTGGGTTAGTCACACACCACCCTAAAATGTCACCTTAGAAAGAGAAAGATAGAACGCAAAGTCAACGGATAAAAGAACAGGAAGTGAGGGACGAGACGAATACGATAGAATGGAAATAAAGAAGTATGGAGGCCTATGAAGTTGTCACCAAAAGAATGGGCACCCGTGATGTGGCATAACTTGACCAGGATACCATCCAAACACTTTCCCACAGTCTCGGAAAAATCGATAGAAAAGGAGTGTTATGGTAAGAGGAGCAGGACGATCCCAATCGACCGAAGTCTCTGATTATATGATTGGCTACATAAGGTGCTTGCATAAGGTCGTCTTAACAGCTAACTGTTAAGACAATCCATAGCATGTTACTGAAGACACGGGAGGTAAGAGAGGAAATAATCAGCCTCCTCACTATCATTATGAAAGAGAAACAAGCAAAGGAAAGAAGGATGTAAAGGGAGGAGACGGGAGGATGAAGAACGAAATAAAAGTAAACATCGTCTTATCGCAGGCATACTGCATGCATGAACGAGCAATTCCAGTCTGCCATGACACAGTTTTTAGTGAGGTAGCCTTGACCATTAGCATCCGACCAGAGCTTAGTGCATCAAGCATTTTCTCCTTCTCAGCACCAAAAAAAAGTTTTGGGTTGGATTAGATTTCGGATTCGGGTTAGTTTCAGGTTGGGTTCGGATTGGGTTCAAGTTAGATTCGGGTTGGGTTCGAATTAGCTCCGGGTTGGGTTCAGGTTGCGTTGTGTTTGGCTGTGTTCGGTCATCATTTCACATCAAAGTTACAATATCAGGCTATTATAGACAAATCAAATGGTCGATACAAAAATGGGGTAACGTTTAACAGAGACATTACAAAAATGAATAATAATATCTAATCCAGGTAAGACATTTTTGAACATATTATTCATTATATTGCCAGATGTTTGAGGAATTATTAAAACTGTGGTGATATTTCAGAAAATGAAATTCCTTTCATTGTCGTTTCTTTTTTTATTCGGTTTATACACATATACAAGAAATGAGCTAACAGAAAGCGCATACATACACTTCGACAGAATCAGATATAGTAGCCTCGATTTGAAGACTTACAAAGTCCAATTTTTTCACGAATTAAGATAAGTTGACCATCTGTGGCATTTTCGCTTCGCTAAATGAGAGATTATTGGGTGGAAGAAACTATAAAACTAAACCTGGAAGGTCTTGCAAAGTTAAGGCAACGAATTATCGATGAATCATGATTAATTTCCGGAGAATCATGGAGGAATGTAATAGAAGCATTCTACCATCTTCCAATTCACCACGGAGCACATTCTGAATACATAATTAAGTAGGGATTACGTATTTTAGCGGTTTAGTTGTTTAAATTAGTGCGTTATAATTTAGTTGAACTGCATTAAAAATTGAAATTTAATTTCAATGAATAATTTTGTTATTTTTGTAATGGATGATAAAAATGTTTGTTTTAATAAAATATTTTATATCATGATCCATATTTTATCCATTGATTATTAATAGTTATTAAACAAAGTTATTAATTTTTTTTTTGGTGTATCTCCTTGCACTTTTTTAGAAGTTCTAATATTAAATGTGTACAGAGACTTTTTAATATGACAGTGTAACATGCCATATAACAAGATGCTTTCCATATACCGGGAATTTCAAATAACTCGCAACATATATGAATGCAGTAACCATAGTTACGAAACTACTATGCACTTGCATTGTTCCACATAAAATGCAACATAGCTTAATGGTACAGGCATGGGGTAGTTTTGCAAAGGAAAAATTTTGCTCGTAAAGAAGTAACGTCCTTATCATAACCATGAGTTTTCAACTGTCTTAAGAGACGCACAGCTAAACCAGAAGTTTATAGTGTTGGTCTAGTGTTAGTTCTAGTTTTAGTTCAATTAAAATATGCTACATAGTGATATCTTATGCTAACTAGCGCTACCTATCACAGCACTATTAGACCTAGAACTAGAAATATTCTGATTTTGCCGCACGTCTTTCAAGACGGCTAAAACCGAATGATTCAAGTTTTAAGTATTGTGTTAGTTGTAGTGATAGTGCTAGTGCAAAACTCGAATTAACACTAGACCCAGAACTAGAAACGGCTAAACCCGAATGGTTCTAGTTTTAGGTCTTGTGTTAGTTCTAGTGATAGTGCTAGTACAAAACTAGAACTAACACTAGACCTAGAACTAGAATGTATCGGATTAGCCGTGCGTCTAAAGACAAGTAAAATTATATTGACATGTTGCATTTTATGTAGGTCAAAGTACATTGCATCTTAAAGTACACTGTAAAAAATAAGTTTCGCACAAAGTTTTAGTATTAACAATTATGCATTTATTGTATTTACATTAAAATTACTTACATTATTTTCATCAAATACCCTGAAGACTAGCGAGGCAAACTTTGAAGGATCACCTTGAGGAAAGAACTGTTTATATATTTTGATGAATCCCTAAACAGATAAATTTTAATTTTTAGTATTCAAATTTTTAATAAATTTTGTTTAATTACCTGTTCTGTAAGGAGACCATTTGGACAATCTTTTAAAAATCCTTTGTGCCTACAACCAAAAATGATTATAAATTGTTCTTTTCATAAATAAAAATATTATCATAATAAATTTAATTAAGCTGTTAAAGAATAAGAAGGAAATAAAAGAAACCTCTCGGATGTGTTTTATGTTTATAGCACGAATTTGCTCGTAACACACACGAGTTATTTTTCTTTTTCTTTTAAATGAAATATCTCGTGGAAACATACACAAATGACAAAATGGGTGGATCTGGCACGGTTTTGTTCGGCGCAGTTCCCCATTAATCTTATTTTATTGTGCGTTGGAAAATGGTTTTGGGCCCCATTTTCCACAAAAGGGGCGGGAAATTATTACAACACCAATACAATTTAGTTGTTTCTATATCATCTTTGAAAAAAAGTTACCATACATTTTTAAACCGTGTTAATTCTTTTAAGTTAATAATGTGTTTAAGACACCCCTATCGTATATCATAAGTTAGCTTCAAGACTTCCGTTCGATTTCCTAATCTCGTAACTAATGTACCTCGGATATTAAGCTGTGAAATTAATGCTTTTGGACCGTATCCGATACGATCGAAAAGTCAACGAGTTAATATCGATCGAACGTTAACTTTTTCAATTAAATCCTGTAATAAAAGACTTCACTAAGCGAAATTGCAACGCAACGGCAATTATAAAAGGTTGAGAAAAAATAAAATAACCGGAAAAGGAATTGCAATTAATGGAGAAAGGAAAAAATAAGGTGACAACGTTTACAAGAACTTACCATTGTCGTATTTCTTTCTCTGTAACTGCAAAAGAAGGAAAAACGTGTTAGAATTTAAATTAGAAAAAAGTTTTTTTTTCATTATTTATTTGAAGTATTTTTTTTTCCTGATCTTCTCCTGCTACATTAATTTTTAGTGCACATTATTAATTTTATACATAATTATTACAACGTGATTTCTTTTTTATGAAATTTATGAATATTCCTCCTCATCGCATTCATCCACTGGATAAATAATATCTTCTAAGGCTGGCACTGCATATTTGGAGAATAAATAACCTGTTATAAAAGCGCCCAAGAAGTGAATAACCGATTTGTAACGAGCGTAATTTTGTTTGGCCCCCATGGTGTACTACAAAGTACCTTAAAAGAAAAGAAACATTCTTTAAAAAAATGTGTTAACATTAATATTGTAATACAACCTGTGGATGACGGGGAGTTTATGCAGAGTTATTGTAACAGGAATTTTGATGCCAAGGCATACTGGAAGGAAGGTTTTAAAGGAATGATTTACAATCCATTAAGACGTCAAAGTTAATTTTTTTGGTGACGTGGTACTATAACAAATTGAGTACCTAGATCTAAAATATTTCATTTGAAATAATTTAAATTTCAAATTAATTCAAATGTCGAATATGTATTGAGATAAAAACCGAAACGTTTCGAAACTTTATTCTGATATAGGACCAGAAATGCAGATAGCAATGGAACCTATTATGCTGATTCAAACGCCCTCTATAAATTTTATCAAAGATCCTGTCCTGGCACTAACTGTCACGCCCTACTAGTTCATAAACTATACAAAAACCCGATGTCCTGTCATTGTTTACGATTTGAGAAAAGTACCCCTGTTTTATCGCGTTTTATTTCGTTTTATCGTGATTTTATCGCTAAATCTCCAACCCAAAATACACACACAGTTATGATAAGTTACGACATACTTACCTCGGAATTAAATGACGCAATGAAAATTTAAGAGTTACTGCTCGTTTCTGCAGGTGAACGATTTATTTTATTATTTTCATATCTCAACCGTCACCGTGAGTTTTGGTCGTTATTTATTCCGTGATTTATGGCTGTAGGGGAGGAATGAAATTAATTACGGATGGTATATAATTTACGATTTTACTAAACTCATATTGTAATAATAGAAGGTGTTCTTGAATTGATGTAAAAGTTACCAACTGGTGTTTTAGGCGATTGCCATAATTTTGGAAACAAAAGTTATATTTAATCTTGATTTTTTTTTATTACTTTTTGTTTTGACCTTTTGAAAAAACAATTTACTGCATTTTAATTTAGTATTTATTATAATATAAATATAATATTATTTGGATTAGCAAATAAAAATTCCCACAAAGAAAATTGTTCCTCACGTATGCTTTTAAGCATTTCTAACTGAACAGCAGTTTGAAAATTTAGCCGAAAATTTTCGGTGTTGATTCATGAAGGCAAGAATATGACAACGACTTAAGTGATGGAGCAAGTGAACATAGTTACCACGAAAGTTTTTTATAGTTTAAAGTGAATCAGAAGGAGAACGTCAAAGTCAAGTTGATGATAGTGATACTACTGCGCAATACAATTGTGGTCGCAATCGTTACAAGTGGTCTAAAAATTGCAGTAGGTGGATTCTTGGTCTCTCCTATTTAGGGAAGATATTCTGAATACAATTTCAGTACACACAAATGCAAAAAATGCAAACCATATCATAAAGATACAAGATGCAAGGGATGGTATTGGAAGAGATATCTTTAGAGATACAATATCCGAAACCTTGTTTCTTATGTCAACACATACTATGTATTTGTATACAATATTTGAAAATATTGTGTTTGTGTAATGCAAATCAATGAATCAAATTTATAAGAAGCACACTATTTAATAAACTCGTTCGTATACACAAGGAGAGCAGCGAAACTTAATCCTAGAAGACTGTCTGTGCTAAGATATAGTGTACTAAAGTTAGTTTCATCAAAGCCAGGAATTTAACAGAAGACAGTTGGCTCACTTCAATACAGTTGTTAGATGAGCTAATACAAGTTGGACTGATATATGTTGGACACAATCTAAAAATTCATCAATTAACTCCTGTAACTTTGGATTTGCACGTGACAATACATTAATTTTATATGTTTCTTTGAATGCAAAACCAAAAATAATTAATTTCTATAATAAAAAAAACCACAGGAGGAGTGAATGCACTGGATCAAAAGTGCAACAAGAAGATGAAGAAAGTACAGATGCAAATAAAAACGAAAATAATACACCAGCCATAATTAAGCCACCCACACTAACTACTCTTCGAAACAATGAAAATGCAAGTGTTCGAAGTAACAAATTAGACTATCATCAAAGGATTAGACAACACGAACACCCAATACCACATCCTTAAACCAAAAGATGAAACGACATTTAGATTTGGAGTAAAAGGACCCGATCACTGAATCGAAACTGATGAAATAAAATCAACTCTCTCAGAGCTTGGACACGAAGCAAAAAACACCTCTAATATGAAGCATAAAATCACAAAGCTGTCTTTACCTATGTTTTAAGTTGATCAAAAACCTAATGAGCCAATACATACCAAAAGAATTAACTTGTCAGGTATACTGCTGTAAAATATTTAAATGCGTAAAATGTGCAGAAGAACATGAATCAAAAAATTGCACTCCAGACTTATAGAAAACCGAGTTAAATGTACTTACTGCAAAGAGAAACACCCCGCATACTATAAAAGTACTGCCAGTGTTTCCAACATAGTGAACCTCCAGCGTTTTCAACACAAAGTTCTACAAGCGATTGTCTATTTCTCCAATGAGACTTTTCAACGTGAATCTCATTGCAACCCATAAAACAAGTGGATCCATCTGTTCAGCTTGCGGTACAGTGAATAAGTGTTTGTGCACACTAATATTCTCGTCAAAAAGCTAAACGTGCTTGTCAGAAAGACACTCTACAATTTTATGCCATCTATAATAGTTAATTTAAAAGAATTAACTCACTGGTGTGAGACTCTATATGACTTGTAAATATCAAACAAATGCTTATTGCCTGCTGGGCAGATATGCAGAATTCATTCAATACAAGAAGATTATACGGAAGTGTCGATAAAGTGAATTAGAAGAGTGGTGTCTGCGTGTGGTGACGTATAGTAAAACTACAGATGTTTACCAGTATCAGCTATGTCTAAACGCTGCAATATGACAACACTTTATGGATAAAGCTTAATTTTATGAGCATTATGTAGAAAGTTTATGGAATTAATAATAATTATTCAACAAATACAACACCTTCAGGAAACAGATGAGTTTTGACAATTAGTATTTTGCTAATGAAGCTGTCTTCACCTGGCACGGAATCGACAACAACCATAATACACCGAGCGTAATAATCTGACGAAAATCTGCAACTCACTCTGCATATATAGTGTATAGGCTTGGTGTGATTTGACACTTTGTGCCCATACTTGTGTCCTGTAGGCATACTTATTGCACAGCGATAACGAAGAGTCCTGCATGGAGCTGTACACAAGCGTATCACGAAGTGTAGGTGCAATACTGATGAAATGATGGATAAATTGAAGCAAGTATTAAATATGCATAATTTTTCGCATTAGTTTTAGCCACGTCAATTTCTGCTACTAAAGTGGTGAGGATAGTGGCTGTATACTGACTATGTAGGATAGAGTTCAAATCACTACATCAGTCTTTTGCAATTTTGTTGCAGCTCACGTCTTATCTTGTTCGCTCCATGCCAGTCCTTATTATTTTTTGTTAACAGTGCAAATTGTTTATAGTTTGGATATATGTCAGTATTTCACAAGTTACTATGACAGCTTTACTTATAATATTTGATGACATAAATAAGCAGTAAATTGTAGCTCCTCAAAATATCTTCTGAGAGCGAGGTGCCTTAAGGTGACTACCAATCTAAATTCAGCTGTTATACACTCTTTCATATTTGTGTTTTGCCTTTCATTAAATAGCAAAATTATTCAAAAGATACTGATGGAGACTGAAGTAAAAACTACCAGCTTTAAGAATCACCAGATTGATCGTTTAAGGTCTCCTTGAGAGATTACTTAAACTTCACGAAATCAAGATGGATTGGATTATGTCATCCCATTTCTTGGTCACATAACCCTCCGAACAGCACTCCGTAACCTCCAAACTTTACTGTAATTCTCAACGTCAGATAGATTCAAATAAATTGAGAAATGATGGAGTATTCATAGAAAATCGGGTTCAATGAAAAAGAGAATTAGTTAATTTATAAAAATGTAAAATAAAACATAAAATTTAGGAAATATTTATGTATAGCAATAATAATATTTCTGACTAATTAGATTTCCAAATAAGCTTCATTGAATCAAAATTTATCTCTCTAGTCCAGAATATATTTTGATACATCCCTACTATATTTAGAGGCTTAGTAGACAATCGCAAACCATCGCATCGATTCTATTCAAACTTTGCTCATTATATACGCCAGGGACGTATCCAGCATCTCGGGCGTTTCGTCGTTTTCCCTTGATTTCCTTCCGGCAGCTTTTGCTTTAGTATAATTTGCCAAGACCCCTTTGTCCCAGCGGGGACGCTTTTCGCACTTTCGCGTTCGGCAATTAATCACACCGCGGATCTTAGGGCTTCTCTGCAGAGTCTAATTAACGTGAAGGTTGAGTCCCATCGGGAATCTCTATTCCTGCAGTTCCTGCCGTACAGAAAGAACAGAAACGATTCGAACTCCCTGGGATATAATGGAAGCTTTGTGCGTTGGTCTGTAGATTGTATTGTTGGATGGTCAACCGGGTGGAAATGATAAATCAACCCGAATTACGTTGTTTCGGCCCTTGACCGATCGCTAGCTTGGATAACATGATTATGAAGGTGCTTGTGCGAACATGATTTATAATAGAGGATGTCCTTACGCTGGTAATAGAAACGATAACGTTTCAATTTGTGCTTTTAGAGGAATTCGAAGTCAGACTTAAATGTGATTGTCACGTTTAATTAGTGAAAATGA